AGGTCCTGAGCCCCACCTCGGCAGCCCACAGTGCACTCTGAGAGGTTCGAGGCGCGGTAGCTTTGCATCTGGATGTACAACAAAGAACGGGGCCACGAAGCGGGCGGCCCTGGTGCTGTCACAGCCCTCTCAGCATGGCTGCCCAAGGCCGCAGTGTGTCCCTAACACTCAGTGCTGGACGGCAAAAGGGCCCCTCCCGCCTGGCAGCTCACCCAGCTGGCGTTTGACTACATCCTGTCGCAGGGTGGGGATCAGACACGCCCCGAGCTCTTGGGTCCCCACTTGCACGCTGCGCCCTGGCAGAACCTGGGGTTGCATTCGGGTGGCACTGGCCCTGTCTTGGCTCCAAGGACATTCGTCCCATGAACCACCTTCCTGGCCAACACCCCAGGCCCACTCTGCCACCTCTGTGCTTCTCTGTGGACTCCGCTCGGCCACGGGACCTGGCCCTTCTGCCCACAGCTGCGGGCGATGAGGCTGGAGAGGGCAAGGGTCACGGAGGACACGAGGCCACCGTGCTGCAAGTGGGGGCGGGGGGCGCTTGGCCAGCTCCCTGGCAGCGAGGGCCTGGTGTCTGCCTTAAGCTGCCCTCTCCACTGGTGACCCGGCCTCCCTGAGGACCTGGATGGGTGACCCTGCTCCTGCAGCCCAACGAGGAGGGGCTGAGGATGCTGTGGCCTCAGGCCACCGCTACCTGCACATCCCTCCCTGAGATCTGCCAGGAAACCACCTATGAGCACCCCCTTGGCAGCTACTCCCGTGGGCTCTGCTCTCCCCAGCCACCTCTGTCATTGTGGGTCAGGGTAACATGGGAAAGAGGCTCTTGTCCTCAGAAAATTTCACCTTCAAAATTATAAAACAAAGCCTGCGGCCAGGGTTATAGCTCAGTGACATAGAACTTGCCTGGCAAGTGCAAGGTCCTGAATTTGATTCCCAGTAGCAAAAAATAAAATAAAATAAAACAAAAGAAAGCCGGATGTGGTAATGTACACCTGTCAGACCAGCACTTTGGGAGGATGAGGGAGGAAGATTGCAGGTTCAATCCCAGCTTGGGCAACTTAGTGACTTAGAGAGACCCTGTGTCAAAATTTTTAAAAAGGACTGAGGTTGAGCTCAGTGCAAAGCACACTTACACAAAAATTTTAGAAATATAGACAGGCAAAACAGAAAAGAAAGACTGCCCAGAATCCCACCCTCCCAGTGTGCTCTACAAGTAAATGCGCTTGTAAGTGTGCACAGGTGCACACCAGTGCTTCTCTCTGGGACCCTGCAGAGTTGGCGGGCACAGGGAGGCACCAGGCTGGGCTCTGCGGGTTGTCGCCCTGTGGACCCTACCCCAATGGCCACCGCCAAAGGGCAGCACTCACTGCGACTGACCAGCAGGAAGCAGGCAGGTGGACTCGTGGGGACACCAATAGCTACCCTAAATAAACCACACAAGGTGGGGAGAGGCCAGGAGGGATTCAAGCAAGGGCCAGGGAGGCAGGAGGCCAGGGAGGGGGGAGGGTCTCAGCAGTGTGTGGAGCTGCCCCAGGAGTGGGGGTCCTGACCCCAAAGGCAGTGAGGTCCCAGGAGAGGGAACTGGAGGTGGCATCTCTGGTGTGGACATGAGTGGGGCTGAGGGACAGCGTGGCACTGTGGCACGGGGCAGGGCCCAGGGCTTCCCAGGACCCCAGGTGCCCCCAACCTTCCTCTGCCTTCAGTAGCAGCTTCTGGATGCCCGGGCTCAGGGCCGCAGCTTGCCCCGTTGTCCCTGCCACCTCCACCCTGCTGGATGTCCTACCTGTCCTGAACCAGCCATCGGGGGTGAAGGCGTTCTGCGTTTCCTCCGGCTTATCCCAGTACTCTCGAAACACAGAGGGTCCCCTGACCAGCAGCTCCCCTTCCTTCTCCTCGTGCCCTGGGGTCACCTGCAGAGGGCAGCAGGGCATGCAGGTCAGAGCTGGGCACACGGCTCTCTGGGTGCCTGCTGCCCCAGGCCACACAGGCTGCTTCCGGCCCCCCTACGGGCCAGATACTTTCTGACATCAGACATGGTTGCAAAGTTTGAATATGTAATAGGCAGGACCCCAGCATGCGGAGCAGGTGCCTTGATTGCCCTTCAGGGCTGCAGATGCCACTGCCCAGTCACGGGGCACTGGGCACATCTTGGACATCCCGCAGGTCCTGCCTGGCAGTGGGGGCTTGGGGGTGGCAGCACCCGGAGGGCCCTGTGGGGCTGAAGATGCCCAGAGGGCCTGTTAAGGAAGGAGGGCCCAAGACGAGACAGGGGCGCATTAGAGTGATAGCGCCACCCCGACTCCCACACCACAGGACGCTCAGAATCTCAGGCCATGGCGGGCTTTACACAAAGCTGAGTTGGGACCTCAGGCAGGCCCAGGAGCGGACGAGCGCGAATGTGGCTGGGCTTCGTGTGGTCCCCTGGTAGGTGGGCCTCCTGAGCACAAGGAGAAAGTGGAGAGGGGTGGGACAAGCAGGTTGGCCTCACCTGCCACAAGACAACATTGGCACTGCGGCTCCTGGCTGCTCTGCCCAGGCTGGCTGGAGCCAGTGCAGCGCCACTGCGAAGAGACACACTTGGGGAGCATCCACACTCACTGGTTCTGTGGCTGTGAGCAGCACGCCTTGGGCAGGTGTGAACGGCAGCAGGGAGCTTTGCAAAGATACTCACGAGGAAGCCACCTCAGAGGGACATGGGGACCCAAGCCAACAAAAACACAGCCAATCTTGGAGGCGAGCAAGACTAGGTCTCCACAGTCGTACAACATCCAGGAGCCACAGGAAGAAGCAGGCAGCATCTGCTCCCAGGAAAACACGCCAGGACAGAGGTGGTACGGGTGCACCAGGCTTTCAAGACATGTTATAGCAATGCTCCAAAAAGAAGGGCAAACACTGAAAGCAAGTGAAAAAATAGGAAGTCTCAGTGAAGAAATGAAAGATAACAGCAGAACCAAGTGGAAACTTCAAAACTGAAAAACATGATCTCTGAATAAGAACACATCACATTGGGCTCCATCACAGAGCGAGCACTGCAGAAAAGACACCAGGAGCCTGGGACACAGTGGCAGAGTCCACCTGTGGGACACTGGGCCCAGAGACCAACACGCTCACTGTGGGCTTCAAGAGGAGAAAGAGCTGTGCAGAGACAGACAAAATCTGGCTGAAAACCCGTAATCTGGTGGAAACTACAGATTCAAGAAGCACAGAGACCCCAGACAGGACCAGAAGCACAGGCCTAAGCACATGGTGATCCAGTCATGAAAACCAAAGACAGAGCAAAGTCTCGACACTGTCAGAACGGCACATTTCCTCAGAGCAGGGAAATGAGGTGGATGACCACAGACCTCTCTTCAGAACAAGAGGCCAGAGAGAAGCGGAACAGCATTTTTAAAGTGCTGAAAGAAAAAGATTATCAACCCAGAATTCCAAATCCTGTGAAAATGTCCTGCACGGATGAAGTAGGCCCTTTTAGTCTTTCAGATGCTGTGTTTTGGAGGATGTTTTGCAGGCAGAGCTGATTTCAAGCACCCACAACACCCACTGCAGACAAAGGAAGACACAGAGGAAAGCCCAACATCGGCGCTGAAGGAAAAGCAACGTGGATATCGACTGCTGGTGAGCAAGATGCCCTCATCTTGTCCCCTCGTGCTCTATGTTCTTTGCGAGGGTTGGAAGCCAGTGTGATTTTGTCTAACAGTGTCCACACATGCAGAGCTCATGATGCAAACACCAGAATTGCCCGAATGGCAGCTGAGCAAACTGGAAGAGTTAACATGTTCATTCCAAGCAGACTATGAAAAGCAAATGTGGGTACTGCAGTCCTCGGAGCAACTACGGAAAGAATGACACAGAGGCACATGAAAAGCTCCACAGGCAGGATAGAGCACTAAAGTGCAACCCGAGGAAGGCGGTAAAGGCAAGCTAAGTGACGAAAAGTCAAGGCAACACAGCATCAAACAATAAGACAGAGGACTTAAGTCACAGCATACCAGAACTGTGTTACATGTCTATGGTTCAAACCATGCATCAAAGGAGAGCTGGTCTGCCTAGGTTAGGGACATGTGTGAGCCAAGTATATGCTACCTGTAAGAAACTCACCTCAAGTCCAAATATGTAGGTGGAGTAGTGGCAATGAGACAGAATCACATATACCATTAAAACGTAAACACCAGTCAGAAGAATGAAATGGCTTCACTGATATTAGACAAAATAAACTAGCAATGAAGATGATCAACAGTGTCTTGGTTACCTTCTTTTGTTGTTGAGACAAATGCCTGACACCCAATATTAAGGAAGAAAGGCTTACTTAGCTCACAGTTTGTGGAGGCTTCAAGGCAGAGCGGCACATGGCAGAAGGCAACCGTTCATGGTGGTGGAAAACACAAAAGCAGCAAGAGCAAAAAAGGAGGAGCAGCAGGGAGCAAGCCTCTTTTCCTCCCTTATATTGTACGTAGGCTCCCTGCCCCAGGGCGGGTGTAGCACTCACACCCTTAATCCCAGCATTGGACCATGGATCAATCAAAAACTCTAGAAACCCACCCCGTGACTGCATGAGACTTTGAAGGGACATCCAGACACAAACCATAACAAACAGTATTCCATGGTAGCAAAGAGTCAAGTCACCAAAAAAACACAATAGTTATAAATATGTATGCATCAAGCTAGACTCAAAATACGTGAAGCAAAAAGCTGAACACAAAAACAGACAATCTAGCTGGAGAGTACAGCACCCCTCAGCTGGTGGTTGGCTGGGTAGTGAGAAAACCAGTGAAATCATAGAAGACCAGGTGAGGCTGCCTCCTCCTCCTGGTGTACACAGAGCCCCCAGCCCACCCAGGCACTGCTCCTCAAGCACACCAGGGCACATGCCAGGGGAAGCCGCTTCTCAGCCATAGAACACCCTTCAGCAAGTGTAAAGCAGACGAAGTCATGCCAAGCATGTTTTCCTAACTGTAGTGTAGTTAGGTTAAAAATTAATCTTAGATAAAAGAAAAATCACCAAACATTTGAAAAATATACAACATGCTGAAATCCGTATGTCAAAAAGAAGTCTTAGTGGAACTTTAAAAATATTTTGAACTGAAGGAAAATGAACATTCAACATATCAAAATTTGGGGGATGTAGCAAAATTTGGGGGATGAAAGCAGTGCTGAGAAGGCAATTTATATTCTTACATGTACTTATTAGAAAAGATAGGAAGGGAGGGGGGCATTCCCACTTGTGTGAGGCTGGCACTGCCGGACACCCAGGCCAGGCCCGGCCAGCTCACAGACAGGGAGCCCTACAGACCTCACCCCGGTGAAGAGGCTGAAGCCCTCACGAATGGCAGCCTAGCAAAGCCAGCCCAGCCCACGTCCCTCAGCAATGATGGGACAACATTCCCGCCAGTGGCCCCTCAGACCGCAACAGGCTGTAACAGGGTGACGACATGAGGTCCTCGCGCTGAGCATCACTCAGGTATCCCGGGAGAGGCTGTGACTCACACCTGCTGCGGGAAGCCCACCCCAGACCATCACATGGTGCGCACAGCCTGTGCCCCCAGGGGGACCCCAGAACACCTTGTGGTTGCCAGAGGTGGCCGCTCCGTGGCTGTTATGCCTGAGGCCTGAGGCTGGGACAAGGTGTGGAGGGGGACAGGATCTTGGTGGCCTTGATCCAGTGTGGGCCCCAGCAAATGTGTGTGATAGAAATCTTTCCACACACGTGCTGACCGCTGGTGTCCTCCTCTGAGGACGGTCCCTTCAGGCCTTTCCTGTGTCTAAACTGGGTTCTCAGGATTTCCCAGGCATGTTAGATTTCAGTGTCCCATCAGGTGCGTGGGGTGTGCAGATCCACTCTGTCCTGAGCTGCTCCCTCCGTGAATTGTCCTCCTGTTCCGAAGAAGCTTTTTGACCAGTGCAGTTCCACATGTCTGCTGTCAGTGGCTATGTGTTTCAGTTCATATTAAAAACATCTCTGTGCTCATTTTCGTGTAAGAGTCTTTAACACACTTTGACGTTTGTACATGGTGAGGTAAGGGTCCAACACTGTTCTGTGTGTGGATATCGTTTTCCTGACAGCATGCATTGAAGACTGTCTCTTCCCCAGGGTGTGCGCCGAGGACAATCAGCCGGCTGCAGCTGTGCAGCCTTACTGGACTCCGATCCGCCCCGCTGGTCCATGTGTGCGTGCCCTTTGGTGACAGCAGCTTTGCTGTGCATCCTGAACTTGTTTTGGTGCTTTGGCCTTGTTCTCTTTGCTCAAACTGTTGTCTCTCTGGTGTCTTTTATAGGTCCATGCAAACTTTAAGACTTTTTTTTTTTCTATTTCTGTGATCATTGGTGTTTTGACAGGAATGACACTGAAGCTGTAGATCATTTTGGGTGGTACGAGCATTTGGGGGGGGCACTGGGAAACAAACTCAGGATCTCACACTTGCCAGGCGGGCACTGCGCCACTGAGCTACATCCCCAGCCCTGTATGAGCATTTTAATATTTACTCCTCCAACCCGCGAGCACAGGACCTTTTCCATCTGTCTGTGTCCGCTTCAGGTCCTTATCACTGCTTTATAGTTTTCGGGGTAGAGATTTTCATTTCCTTGGTCAAGTTTATTCCTAACCATTTTATTATTTTTATAGCTACTATAGATGGGATTATTTTTCCTGATTTCTTTTCTAGAAACGCTACTCACCTTTGTATGTATCCTGCAACTTTATTGAAGTTGTTGAGGAGATCTAACAGTTTGGTGGAGTCTCCAGGGCTTCCGGTATTTAGGTTGCAGGTGGTCTTTTGTTTTTTGAGGCAGGTTGTGGTGTGTAGCCCATCTGGCCTTGACCTCGCCGTCCTCCTGCCTCAATGTTCAGGCTTGCACTGCATAAACAGGCTACACGCTGTCGGTAAGCAGGGATAGTTTTGCTTTCTCTTTTCTAGTTTGATGACTTGTCTTTCTTCTTTCTTCCTTCCTTTCTTCCTTCCTTCCTT